ATGAAACGCTGGAAACGGAGGGTCTACAGGGGTTCAAGGAGAAGATATCTGTTGCTTGTGCGAGAGAGAAGAACAGAATCTAAGGAAAGAATCCAAGGATAAGGAGGGTCTAGAAGTGTACGGAATGTTGAAGGAAGGAATAGGGTTCAAGGACTACCTACATGGACCAACGGATGCAGGAACAAAGCTTAGGGTCAAATTCAGGACCGGGGACATAGGCCTTCGAGAACGTCGACGAAGACATAGGACGGTTGACGACGAAGAAGACGAGTTCAAATGTGATTGCTGCTTCGAATGCGAAGACCGTCTTCATGTAGTCGCGGAATGTCCGTTGTACAAGAAGGAGAGGGAAGTGTACGTGACTTGAGCTTGGAAAAATAGATAGGACGTACAGGGAGATGATTGAGGCATGGAATAGAGAGGAAAGGACGGTAGCTGTACTGGGGCATTGGAGGTGGGTTGAAAAGGCGGGAAGAGATATCGTTAGGATAGACAGACTAGGGAAGACATTTTTGAGCCACCTTTGGCAAAAGTAGAAAGGAACGATTGGCCATCGGTGATCGGTCCTGTGGGAACAATGCTCCGTCCTCTCGAGGACGCATGGTCAATGGTCTAACCGCTAAGGAATGCAAAACATAAGAGTACGCCCCCCCCCGAGTGCCCCCCCCCCCCCCCCCCGTCTCGGTAGCGTGTACAAATCTAACTTAGCGCAAAGCAATACGCTCGCCCGCTCAACATTTGCTTTCCGGCCGGCCCCAGCTTCTTTCCGATGTCCGCCAAAGGTTTGTGTATCTCTTTCGTTGTGACCTTGGAAAAGTGCAGCTGACGGATGAGGTTGGACTCCTCCTCTATGTCCTCTGCACTCACGTCGTTGACGTTGTCGAAAGCTCGCGGGCGCTCGTGCTCCTTTCCACCTGAAGTCGGGGTGTGGTGCGCGAGGCCAAGGTTTGCCTGCGCAGCGGGTATCGGGAGACAAAAGCGAGGCGAAGCGGCATCACATGATCTCTGCTTCCACAACAAGCGGGCTCGGCGCTCCTGTCACACCCGAGGCAACAACGCGAGGCTAAGGCGGGGTCGGCCCTGGCTCCTGTCCAAACTCAGCACACTCCAACAACGCGAGGGTACTGCTGTGTCGTCCTCGTCGCGCAACACTCTGACGACCTTGTTACAACTTACCGCAAGTCAACTCGCCTGTGAACTTGCCGTGTAGCGCTGTTACTCGCCCACCACAGCCCCACGTGAAGGTTGCAACCCACCTAGGATTCGTACAGGGGACAACCACTGGTACAGTATTGCGAAAGTGTAGGAGAAATATACATATATCTGTCCGCGTGGGGCGATGGCTATTTAGCGTTCCGTTCACTCCAACACAAAAAATGCACGAATACACACGTGGAGTCACCACGTGCCTTATTGCGGCGTTTTTCTCGACTAACCACCGCGCAGAGGGTGCGCAACCAGCAGGCAACAACAGAAATACCTACAAAAACAACGTCAACACACTGCCGGCTGAATGCTTCGAAGAATCGCGCGCACACTGTGGACGAATATCGGACATCACACCGCAGAGGTGCGGCCGCGGTGCGACCAACAAAACAAAAAGGAAAAGAAAGGTCCTATAACAGTCGCACACACAACTAATTGGTTGTCTCGACGCTCGCATGTTCGATTGGTTCCTGTTGTAGAGGGAGACCACAGCGCAGCAGCGCAGAGGACACAACCGCGTATGGTGTCTCGAGACGTCCACGTAGTGTGCAGCGACCATGTTCAATCGGCGCACTGCTGCTGTGTCTCGGACGACGATTCAAAACATCAACTTCAACAGCGAGAAAAGCAAGCCTCATGTCCATCTCGACTCCTCCTCTGCTGACTCGTCACTCGACGCGCTAAGGGAAAGTTACACAGCTGCGTACGGAGATACCGCGGTGGCGAGAGGGCTGCTCATAATCGGTTCATAGAACACTCCAGGCAGACAAAGATACTACTGTAGATACCTTTCGCGACTTAGAGTTGCGGCGAGCGCTCGCATCCTTCACAAGTGCGATGTCTTCTCAGCTTCCCCCCGTGGCAGCACTTGATCGATACGCAGCTCCATCTGTTGCGCCTCCTGGAGCCCTCCTCCTCGTCCTTTTTCGTCCAAAGCTGGGGGAGGCGGCGGCAACACATTCGGAATGCCGGCAGTTGTCGGATGTTCGACATGAAAAGGGTGCGCCGCGTGTCGCTGTTCTTGTTACGGCGAACACGGTAGGCCTAGCCGAAAGCCGGCCCAACAACATCAATACTACCACAGACACCTTTCCGCACACCAACACAGCAAGTCCATCCTGCACGTCAGGGAAGGGGTACTACTGCTGCCGGCAACTAGAGGAAGGGTACTCTCCAACCCCACCTTCGTTTTTTTCTCCCTCTTCAGGCGGAAGCCGCGTCGGGTCTTGGCCATCAACATTTTCACGGCGTTGTCCATGGTTTTCTCCCCAAAGCTGCCGGTCCCGTCTTCGAGGTTGGGAAACTCTAGGTTCCTTACTTCTTCCTCAAGGGTCTCTCGCTACCTCCCCTACTGCACACGGCCGAATTCACGTGGGCAAGGTCTACCGCGCCGTTGTTGTGGGCTGGCCGTCAACAAAATATTGGTTGCGAATAAGGACACAGGCTTCCCTCGTTGGGGGGAGGCCCAGGTCGCAGTAGTCTTTACTCACTGCGAAGGGCTGGCAGTTCTCTTCTTTGAGATTTAGAGAGGAGAGGGTCTCTGAAGAGCGAGACAAAAGAGAGAGAGAGAGAGAGAGAGAGAGAGAGAGAGAGAGAGAGAGAGAGAGTGCCGCCGAAGGGGCGAGGGAGACAAAGCCCGAGGGTCTCGGATTCCCAAGCTCCACAGGTGGCGCCACGAGGGACGCACCCATAGTCGGGCCTCTTGCTGATCAACCATCAGTAAGATCCTCCGTTCGGATCGCATCTTGGTCCTACTTTTGTATGTGCAACAACAATGGTTACAGCACTTCTACACCTGCCATCCACACGAAGCAACATCAGGATCAAGTCGGAGCACAACGTTTGCATTTTGCTGCGATACGGATGGGCAACAAGAACATTGCGCTGTATGAACGAATCCATTATATGCTTGATAACATACCTGGAGACATGTCCCGCAGGGCTGCACCGCTTAGAGCTTCACCGGAAGTAGCTGGGCCTGGACCATCTGCAGGCGTGCCATCGCCAACTCTTGTACCCTCTCGACGAGCTGCGCCGCCGCCGAGCGAGGCTGTCGCAGGCAGCATCATCGCCATTTTCACCTTCGCCAGCGTCAAGATGAGGTGCAACACCAACCTCTACCAACATGCCCCTCTCCTCCTCCTTTCCACCAACATCATGCGTCTCGGTGGAGGTCCCGCTTCAAGGCAGCACCTTGGGCAGCGGACGACAAGAGGAGCTTGTCGTTGTCGCGCCTTCGGAACCAAAGACGAGGGGGCTCGAAGCGGCGGAACCAACAGCGGATCCACCCTCCACGCTCTGCTGCTGTTGCAGGCTGCTTGCTGGCGGTGGAGAGGGTATGGTGTGAGCCCATAAGGGTTCGCATAGCTGGAGGGTGTGCTACTGGGGTGCCGTCAACCATCGGTGGCGCGTGTGCTCAGCGAGCGCTAGGTACCGTCTTCCGCGTTCGCCCGTTCAATTCAAATATGGTGTAGTTCTCGAGGCGTTTTCCTGCGCGGAGAACGTTTTTGTGGGGGCGCCGTGGCTATGCTACCGAAGGCCAGACCCCCTTGCCCTCGCGAAGCACCGGTCGACAGGTCACGACAAACACGGGCCCACAGACACGACACAAATCAACTTTCTGTTTCTCTGTTCTGTCCTCTCGAACTCCTGACTCCTGACTGCCATGGCTGCGCCGTCCAAGACCGTTTGCCTGCGAGCTTTCAACAAGGACCTGGATGGAACTAACCCATGGGAGAGGCAAGGGCCCGCGCCGCCGCCGTTGCCCAAAAGGTGAGGAAGACAGACGAGAGCAGCATTCGGCCGTTACAGACACATCAGGACGGAGAGAGCACGCCGCCTCCACTCGCGGCCCCTCCCTTCACCTCTCTTTTCGCTCGGGCGGGGTATGTTGTGTACTTCAGCCACGCAAGTGCTTGGTGCTTGTTAGTTTTGGTGCGAATGAGGGTACTTTCCCTATCGTCATTCCCTGATTTTTGGGAAGGAACGGGTTTTCTGGACCTTTTCTCTAGCAGAAACAAGTCGCGGCGTCGCGGCGTCGCGGCGTCGCGGCGTCGCGGCGTCGTGCCACGTACTTCAGTATGCTCAGGTGCTTCTGCTGTGTTGAAGGACGGGAGACCATTGGTCAAATCACAACATATCTTGAAGCAGCTGGGAGTACAGTCTTGGAGGGGTATATCCCTCTCAAGCTCCCATGATACCCATGAACACTCTTTGGACTGATTTCTGCCGACATGCTTCCGGAGCATCTCGTTGCTCATCAGTTTTCACGTTTTTACAACCCGGATGTATGCGTATCTCTCCGGCCCGTGATGGTGACCCCTTGTCTCAGTTGTTACCTCGCATAGCGCGCAAAGGGAGTGGAGGACTCCAGAATATCTGTCGTTGATTTCTATTGACTTGCGGACCCCTCGGGGCCATGTTGTTTGAGTGTACCTTTTTAGGGTAAGTTAGCCTGCGACCAGGGGAATCGACTACGTCGAGTGTTGTATCAATACGGACATGCGAAGGTACTGGGTAGAGAGAGATCGGAACGGTTTTTAATGTGAAGACAAAAACAACAACAACAACAATACCACAGGCACCTTTGAATGTGTGAAGTATGGCATTGCTCTGTCGGCCGGCGTTAATTGTATTTGCGGAAGCAGCTACACAATGTTAATGTTGCACTCTTCTCGAATACAAAGTGTCTACAAAGTTTTTTTTTTCTCCCATCATTGGACGCTGTCATCTGCCCCTCTGGCCCCTATCCTCCACTTCTACTATAGCTAGACGACCCAACCGGGGTCACATAGGAGGTAATGTACCAACCTAACCATTTCGCCCCAGAGAATACGCCGATTGATGCCCACACTTGCCAGACACGACACGATAAACGTTGTCCAAGTAACTTCCCGACAGAGATTGGTAACGACGCCCAGACTCATGTGTGACCAAATGGATGGAACATATGGCTATTATAGCACACACACCGGTGACCTTCCGTGTTGTTTGTGTTCTCTTCGTCGGCCTCTCCTCTACCTTGTTTAGTGATACTTCGAAGTACGATTTTTTTTTCTTGTCAAAATACATAAGCTGGTGCATCCAGAATTATACCGACAGGCGTTAGGACCAACACCCACACGGGATGGAAAAAATGGTGTGTTGCATGTGGTTGTTCTCTGATTGAGGCGTGTGTTTTTGAAGGATACCCACTCGCACATAGACACACCCCTCAGCCTATTTGGAGCTATCCATACTACTTGGAACACCAAGGTGTTGACGACAAATTGCCTGCTGTGGGTTATGTGCGTTTATTCCTAGCTGTGTCTTGCCCGCGTCTCGCCGCCTTGCAGGCCCCTCGTCCGAAACAGCGACACCGAACGGCCAAACCTCGTGACAGTTGTCCGTGGTGTTGGAGTGTGGTATGCGGTTTCTCACTCGCATCTACGTGAGTGCACCAATTCTCTCTCTCTCTCTCTCTCTCTCTCTCGCTTGCTTGCTTGCTTGCTTGCTCGCTTGCTTGCTTGCTTGCTTGCTTGCTTGCTCGCTCGTTCTCCCTCCAGTCTATTTACTGATATCGTGATATCCGTACTCCCGCTACAAGTGCCCTATACTGCTGTGTGTCGCACCTGTTTTTTTTCTCAAGCCGTTCCTCTAGATACCCACAAGACACACACACACGCCACTCCCGCTTCACCCTCTTCCGCGGTTCCCCTCGCCTCTGGTGCTGTGTTGTGCATACATCACTCGATGCTTTTTCATGAACCACGACAGGATCGCCTGGCCCGGCGGCAAGATCGTATCGAACAAGGATGAGGCACTAGCCAACTTCCTGAGGCGGAAGGTGGACCAAGGCCAGACACTCACTCCCGAACAGGTACGTAATGCACGAGAGGAGGATAAGTGGTGGGCATGACGTGAAACAAAAAGGGATGCGGATGGAATTCGTTTGACGATCATGTTGAGAGCCGATTCGATTCTTCTTCTGTCTCTTGGTCGCAGTTATACTACTGCTGCAAGCTCCATGCAATGCGCTAAAGCATGCATACCAGTGCGTAGGGCAGACAGCAGCACCGAGAAGTAGCTTTGCTTCTCGGATGGCTTCATGTTTTTTCCGAGATGGTCGGCATCGCTTTTGGAAACTTCCAGACGAACTTTCCGTAGCCCTTTCCTTTTTCCGGAAAATGCTCTCCGCGGTACGAAAATGGTCGGAAATAGCTACAAATGTATGCATACGGTCGCACGGGACCCACACGACCACCACCCTCCAAATCGCCCCCGATCCGGTCTATGTTACGAACTACAGTAGTGTTTATCAAGTGTTTTCGCGCTTTTACATTAAACCTGTGCCTGCCGACCGAACCGAACCGAACCGAACCGAACGACCAGATGACCATGCTTAAGAGGATGGCGTACCCGAACGCATCAGCATCGGTACCATCTGGCGGGTCCGGTGTTGGCACCACGGCTGCTGCGGCTAAAGGCAAGAGAAAAGTACGCGGAGTCGGCCACGTGTACGAGAACAGCGGCGGTGGCGGTGGCGGAAGTGTTTACGCTCGAAACCTGCTGCACAAGCTAGAGCGCAAGGTAAGGAAAGGGCGCAAGCACGGGACCCCCCAGGCGGGGGTGGGAGTGGGGTGCGAGGGCGAAGTCGTCGTTCGAGTGTGGACAGCCTGGCGGAGAGCAAAAAGGAAAGCTACTACATAGCGTGTGGGGGGTTTTCCGCCTTTTGTGTCGCCCCCCATTCGCGTCGATCTTCCCGGCACGGGAACGTTCTGAGGAATGGGCGCCGGAATCATCGTTCCTCGCGTTTGCTTGCTTGCTTGCCCGAAAGATCATCACGTACATCTAGAGGGAGACAAACCAGCCGACCACTCCGGCTGCCTTCCTGCCTGCCTGCCTTGCTCGTTGGAGCTACACCGCTACCACGTGCCGTAGGAGGTGGTTGTACACGGCATGTTCCGTGGAAGGGGTTGGGAAAAGGGGGTGGAAAAGCGGGGGATTAAGCGCTACAGCCCCGCAGGTCAAGGGCGTGTTGTGTGTGGTTGGTCTCTCGAGGCAAAAACGATCGATGAAGGCACAGCATCCCCGCGGCCCATGCAGTCGTGGGTTCACGGGATGCACGGCACGAGAGCCGAGAGAGATTTCATTAGGTGGGACGAGTATTTCCTGGTTGTAAGGGGGGCAGGGAAGAAGCAACAAAGAACGAGGGTCGTCCCAAAGGGAAAGGAGCACGGAGTTTAGCCGGATATTTGCTCAAGTGACCCTGCGGCAAGGCTTGCGGGATACCTGGACACACACCCATCCATCCACATGCGGGAATACTACTTTCGACGTGTAAACCGACAGCTCGGGCCATCCTACCAAGAAAAAACGCAATTCTCCCCCCGGAGTTCAATACACAGCGACGACAACCAGCCGTGTTTTTGTGCCCGCCGCCTGTACGTGCCCCCAACACTTGGGGCTGGGAAACCGGGGGGGGAGGGGGCTTGAGAGCGCACTGCGGATGCCCCGTGATTGCGCCGCCGTGTGGGCGTAGAGCTGCAGTGTTGTGGTCTTTTGGGTAGCCGTTCTCACAGTCCGGCCACACGAGCCTTACCTACCGATTTGACCGACGACGACCGATCCAAGTGAGACAATTGCAAACACAGGTACGCTCTGGTTGAAGTTTTCGGCAGATGCATGCATGCGTTCGCGTTGTGCCTACGCGGGCGGAACGGCTTGTGTGTGGCTCATGTGTGGGCCTGGTGTGTGTGTGTGTGTGTGTGTGTGTGTGTGTGTGTGTGTGTTTTTATTATTAGCATCGACCGCGCTAACCGGCTGACCAATGAAAAGACGTCAGTCTTAGTGTGTGTGTGTGTGTGTGCANGGGAAACCGGGGGGGGAGGGGGCTTGAGAGCGCACTGCGGATGCCCCGTGATTGCGCCGCCGTGTGGGCGTAGAGCTGCAGTGTTGTGGTCTTTTGGGTAGCCGTTCTCACAGTCCGGCCACACGAGCCTTACCTACCGATTTGACCGACGACGACCGATCCAAGTGAGACAATTGCAAACACAGGTACGCTCTGGTTGAAGTTTTCGGCAGATGCATGCATGCGTTCGCGTTGTGCCTACGCGGGCGGAACGGCTTGTGTGTGGCTCATGTGTGGGCCTGGTGTGTGTGTGTGTGTGTGTGTGTGTGTGTGTGTGTGTGTGTTTTTATTATTAGCATCGACCGCGCTAACTGGCTGACCAATGAAAAGACGTCAGTCTGTGTGTGTGTGTGTGTTTCTTTCAATAGCATCGACCGCCTAACTGGCTGACCAATGAAAGGACTCTTTCGACGGAAGATGGAAAACATTTCTATAGGTCATGATCTGATTTCCGAAGGGGGATGTGCATCATTTTCTTGTATGTTGCATCGAGCATGCTTGAAGACACTCCACGACACTCTTTGTGGCAGGATAAAAAACACACCACGTCTATGCGTGTGCCCACTACGTCTATGCGTGTGCCCCACGCGCGTGTGCGTCCTCCGTTGTCGTCGTCCTTCCCACCCGGACGACGTTCGAGAAAAGACGACGCCGATCGTGGACGAGACAAAACAAAATGAACACACACGTGTTCGCGGCCCACCGTATTTTTTTGGGGGGATGGATTTGATGTAGTACTACCCACCCAGCCTAAAGGCGCACGCGCCCGGCCAACTCGCATCATCACTTTGGTGCTGTTCCCTTTTTTGTTATTGATATATATATATGTTGAAGGTGGCCGGTGCTCCGGACCCGTTCGAGGCGGCAAGTGGCAACGGCGGCGTCGGAGGAAATTTTCAGATGCTGACGGGGACGTCTAAACGGGGCATGGCTGGCAGGTAACAATGAGAAAGGAAATAGGGGTGGGGCTTGGCTTGATTCCAACAATTTATGTGGGAAACAGCTTCCTCCGCGACGAGGAAGGGCGAGTAGACGAGAACGTGTCGGATTTGGCCGGTAGGTGCGGTTGCGAAGTATGGTACGACATGGCAGCAGTATTCATTCCGCTCATGTATATTCGCCCGTTGCTGGCAAGCCGCGGCCGAGAGCCCTCCCCAACGGAGGTTAGCATACTGGCGGCGGTCATGCCGCCAGCCGCGCTCGGGTACGCTTGTTATTGGCTGAAAGCGCCCACGATACTATTTTTGGTCTCTTCTTAGCCCCCCCCCCCCGGCGCGTGTTCGTTTTTTCCGCCGCTGCGCACGTTCTGTCTTTCTGAGCAGGCGCAAGGTGGACCTGTCTTCCCTGAAGAGCGGCGGAACCATGGCCGGGGGCGTCGCCCCCGGGGGTCGGGGTGAGGATAGCGGGGGGGTACGGCGAATCGTTGCCGATGGACTGGGCGGTTTCACGATCGCGACGGGGCCGGCGGCGGCGACGGCAGTGGTGCCGACAACGGTGTCTTCAGGTGGCACCCCTCTCCTCGACCTTAGTGGTGAAAGCCCGGAAATGGCGTCGCCCCCGGAGCAAGAGCAGCAGCGCGGGTGGACCAACAACAACAAGCGCCTACGGGTTGTTGGTGGTGGCGGACGGCTCGGCGCCGCTCCTGTTTTGCCATCGGCGGCAGCGACGACGGCGGCGGCGGACATCCCGGCGCTTTATCGCGAGGCGGAGGCGTGCGTCATCGCCGGAAAAAAGAAAAAAGGCGGCGGTGGCAAAGGAGGAGCGGGAGTGGCGAACGGGAAAAAGAGCTCCTCCCAGAACATTCAGCAGCCGATTAGGGGTAGCGCGAAATGGGGCGGCAAGACGATGGCGGTATCGAACGGCGGGGGGGGAGGGGAGCGGTCGCTGGATGAGTTGATGAGTGGCGGGCTCGCAGCGACTCGGAGATGATAAAGTGTGTTGCGGGATTTCTCTCGTCAGTCTCTCCTTCGCGTGTCTTGGCAGCGGAGGGCATATGTGCAACCGTTGCTAATAGAGCTGCATGGCGTGCTTCTCCCCATATGCACGAGGGCTCGATTTATTTCTTGTGGAAAACCCGCTTTATAGCTTGGCTGTTGCTTGTTGTGCAGCATGGCGTGCTACACACCCGCGTGGGGTGATTGCGGCTTTTGTTTACCTTCTGGGACCGCGACAGCTTGCTGACGTTCTACTCGATGAGCGCAAAGCCTTCACGGCAGGGCGCATGTAAGGATGTTGTTCAACGATGTTGCAGATTTGCTTCCCCATGGACGATGGTGGGACGCGCCCCCTAGTAGGCGGCTAACGTTCCCCGGGAGTAGTGTTGGAAGGCGGGCATTTGCTCGGTTGTGGTGTTTGTCTCGATGGGACAAGACAGGTGGCTCCGGTTTCGTCTGGTCTTGGACGCGGCCTTGACCTTCATCGTCTGTAAAAATCATGCTGTGTATGTTAGGCTACTTCACGCGTTCAACGCCGGCTGGTTGTCTGTAACATCACGCGCGGTGTATCTTCGGCTACAAAGCGTGCTACACCGGCCGCTGCCGTGACCTTCTCCTACGACTAACTCCTCAAGGAAGGGTTGACTGAACAGTTTTCGAGTCTTGAGCCTAATCTGGCTGATTGCCTTTGAAACGTCGAAAAAGACTTGCTGCGACTTTCTGTGTGCTGGTTTGTTTATTTTTGCTGTTCGCGGATGGCCAGAGGGGTGGTTGGGTTGGTTGCCCATGATGATTGTTATTGTCCGTGGTGTGCTCGTTCTGCTTCGTCGCCTTGTCTGTACAACCACGTGTGGTTGGTGTAACGGTAAGCAGGGGCGCAAGTTATGCTTTGTTTCGCCGAAATATGGAGACGAACAGGTTCGATATAGGAGCAGCTTTTGGCGAGTTGAGGAGGTTAATCACGCCTGGACTAAAAGTTCTCTGCTGGCCCTTAGCTGTCGTTCGCCTCGGCGTGTTGTAGTCCGATTATTTCCACGTGTATGTGAGAGCGTAACGTTTTCTTCTGGATTAGGTCGGGTAGCATGAGAATGTCGAGAGAGACAAGTTACGAAACACTGCGGGCTCGACGGCGAAACAAGGGAGAGCGCGCCCTCGCTCTTGCTCTCTCTTGCGTGCGTCGGCCGAAGGGTCATAAACAATAATTTTTCGTCTTATCATCTGTTCTTCAGCTCCTAGCACCCTGCGGCCGCTTTTGCTCCGCCGTCGTGTACGAGTGGGGCAATTTTTGCCGTTTCATCCTCCGCGTTTGAGAGACGATTGGCAGAGTTTCGCGCATACGTTTGATGTCTCCGCTCGAAAAGACTGCAGCGTCATCGGGAGTTACGGTAGATGACGACGTGGGCTGATTCTCACATTTGAGTCGAATGATGACAGTGTGTAGCTCTCGGAGGAAAGGCCGTTATGCACATACACGTGCCGCAACACCGACTGCTCGACCCCGGGTGGACATGGTTCGATGGAGGCCTTGCACGTATGTTTTATGTTCTTGCACTTCTCCCTTCTTCCATCCCCTCCTCCCCTCCCCTTTTTCTTATAAGGAAATCGTTTCTTCGTAGTAACATCGCTCGATCCAAGAACATCGCCTGACATCTCAACTACGAGAGGGACCGTCCGGGCTCAAGGGTTCGACCGAAAAAGAAAAAAAAATTACGTGGAATACGTTCACGGGCAGTTGCGGTGTGCTGCTTGTTGACGCTTGTTCACGGCGCGACAAACAATTGTCCAACTTGACCATGTTGTCAATTTCGGAACGCGATATAGACTACTGTAGACAACGTCCTTGCAAGAAGAGAGTTCTTTACTTCCAGGCTCGTCTGTCTCCTTGTCACATAAAAACTCGAGCGAGCTCAAACCTGGTTTATCTATCTATGCAGGCTAACGCCTACATACTGCCGTCTTCGACACGCGGAGAGCACAAAGCCCAGAGCATTAAGACGAATGAATATGGTACCTCCCTCGTGCTGGAGAAATGAAGGACGGAAGGATTGTTGTGCATGGGTCACATCAACGCTCTCATTTTTTCACGTACTGCAGCGCATTTCGTAACGTCATCGCTGCTCCGTAGATACGGGTGGGTTTTTCGTTGAAACCACAAGCCATCGGCGGCGGTGGTGGTGATGATGCCCGCCTCTCGCTCAGCCGATGCGAACGTATGAAGCTACAGCGAAACACTGTACGGCGTGCGAAAGGACAGACACACGCGGTGGGGCGCCCATGGGTTTCATGAGGAGTGGAGGGGGAAGTAAGGAACCATGGTGGACACTGAGAAGCTCCTAGCCTCAAGCAAGCGAACACTATTATTGGCGTTTGTGTGGAGGCCAGGATATTCGTATCTTCTTATACTTACACACGCACATACAAAGGGAGTGAA